AGATGGCGGATAATATTTATTCGGAGGATGAAAACCCGGTGCGCCAACCATACGGGAGTAGGATAAGGCAGAGGATATGAAGTATATCATGCGAGAGAATATTGTTATTCCGTAATTTAAAAGTAAATATTAAATTCAACAGATTCAACGAAAACAGGATTATTCCGATATAAGAGGAGATTGCAAATGGTTATATCACAACACTTCAGTGAAACTACAGTTACCCTTGGAGTAGACGTAAGTAATTTATTATTTAACCTTTAACAAAGTAAGACGAGCAAATTTGACACTTACGTCTTCCGTCTCTCTTCTTTTCCTATGTCCCCAAAGTGGGGCAAAGGGCGTCTACGGTACGCCGCCAGCTCGCTCTGTCCTGGGCTCTGCGTTTGGTCTCGGACCATGATAGCCCAAGATAAAAAAGAAACGATAACTGTTGTCCGACAGAACTTAAATTTTAATAGAAAATCTCATTTCTGCATATCTTTTTATCATAAAGAACATAAATTTTTATCTTAAATGTTATGTTGGAATTTTAATGTGTTTTTGGAAATTTCGATTTCGGCCGAAACAGAGAGCGTGTCGAAAGTTCCGTTTTGGTTTCGGCTGAAATACTAATTCCGTCGGATACTAAAAATAACTATTAGAAACGTAAATTATACAGACAGACTATGAACCTCCATTTGGCTCAATGATAAACCCCACTAATTTCTACATTCATATTTCATATTCATCTAATTTCCTTACTTTATACAAATTATATGACAACGAAGATTCTGAGTTAGTTTTTTATACATTTTAACATCATTAAATACATAAAATCTACAATAAAAAAATACTTTGATACACCAAAATAATATTAATTAAATAAACACGTTAAATAACTTTCCTATTGGTATTTATTTTCGTAGATAAGTCTACAATGCATAGTAAACGGACCACATCCAGCGAGATTCGTGTGGGAAAGAGATAAAGTAGTTATATCTTCGAACACAGATTCTAGGTAAGTTCAAATTAATATTGAATTAAAGTAAATTGCATCAAATGTAGATGTCAATAAAGATTAAAATATTCAAGAAAAGTACCTTAAATATTGTTACAATCTTTCTTCAAATATCTTAACACTAATTAATTTAATTGGAAAATGAAATTGTTTTAGATATGCAATAGGACAAACTATGACGCCA